CCTTGTGCATTGGTCGAGGCAGCCTTCCCCTAAATTCAAAACTTGAAACGACAATCACCAATTACTACAAATTCAGAGACTTTTCCCTTCTAAATCAACCTCAATTTCAATCAATTCATCCATTGCCAAAATAGAAAATTTCAAATGTTTTTTGTATATAAAAACTTTTTGTATGATCCAAAAATAATTAGTATAGTAGTACAATATGGCACTAAAAATGTCCATTGGTTAATTTCTTGAAAGTCTATGTGATCCTGACTTTCTTAAAGTACTTCTTCAATACTATTTCAACATTTCATCTAGGATGGTATTCTACAAGAATCAAATATCGCACCAGTGAATACATCAGTTTTGTCCAAACAAGAGGGAAAAATGCACAAATTTCAAGGCTGATATTCAATGTTTATACTCAACGAGCTATGTCCTACTCTTGTAAATATGGATTTTGTTTGTCTGTTTCACTTATAAGTAGTAGCTGCAGGTATTACAGGTTACAAATTCTTCTCTTTTCCTTTTTTTAAAGATAAATTAAAGGAAGTCTACCTTACAAAGAACAGGTATAACACGTACATTACTTCAAAGAATGCAATACGGAGCCGTAGAAATGGACAACTTCAGGAACTTTCTTCCTTACTGTTTAAAGTCGATGAGGTGCCAAAAAGTTTCATCAGAAATAATTGCTCACTTATACTGACGGAAATTTTTCATTATCACAGTACAGTACAAATAAATCAAACAGAAAATTGATCCACCAAGTTAGACAAGATGACGATCATTCGGATACAGTCCATAGTACCTGCACAGGTTATTCATGTCAGGTTTGATAAAGATACCCTCTCATAACACAAAAATGAATATATGGGACTAAACCAAGTACTTTAAAAAAATTGATCTCCAGTAACAGAAGAGTGCATGTATGGGACTAAGAGATACATTTTATTTCAACAAAACAATTCAGCATATATTGCATGCACCTGTTGATGCGTACTTCTCTCACAGGGAATTTCCTTTCAAGCAGCAGCAGGAATACAGTTAACTCTCTATAAACTCAAAGTCACACAACTAGTCAAATCTTCCTTTACTTTAGTCAAATCAATTTGTTTGGACCAAACTATTTTTGTGTTCCCCACAGATTCAACTAATGCAGCGTTGTCTGTAAAATATTTCTATATAACTGACAAATAAAGCACGCTTGCAGCATTAACATTGTCTTCAAAACAAATATAGCAAATAAAACTGAGTTTTCTCCTTGTCTGTACTCTGCACAGACCTTCATTAAATTTATTTTTAAAAAAATTAAAAAAAGTTGTGATTGAAATCAAAGGAAGACATATATTATGCACCTGTCTTTTAGTACTACTTCCTTTCCTATTAAAAGCTAAAAACAATACAGTAATTTACACATCATTTGCTGACAGACAGAAGGGCAAAAGCTTTGTTTTTTCCTTTTTTATGGGGGATGCAATGTTGGTACAGTTTTGCCACCTGGCCACTCTTAACCTACCCTCCCATAATGAACAACAGGCCATTTTCGTAATGTAATCAAAGCCAATGCATAAATCTTTGTGAAGTGCATCATTACAAATTTGATTTCATTCACCATTACAAATTGATGTATATCAATAGTCAGAATGGAAATTGCATACATTAGTTGTTGCTAGGTAGGACCAACAATACGGCTTGACCTACCAAACAACACGTTATATATGCTATTGGCATTCTACTGATATACAAGTGAATAAACAAATTTGAAGCACTTAACAAAGATTTACCGGTAAGCATTAAAATTGATTACATTACGAAAATGGCCAATTGCTATCATGTATTGTTACATTGGTAAAAAAAAAATTGTATTTTAATTTCCATTTACGTTACACCGGAAGTACATTAAATCTCATATGGACCTCCTTTACAGCCACGAGGGCTCTTATCTTCGCGATATATCATCACCATTATGTTTTCCCCCCAAAATTGTTGTCTTACACATAATCAAAATGAATAAAACGAGGTACTTCACTTGTGATTGGTTCCAGCAAATGACATATGCTATGAATGATACAAAGCCAATCGATTGTGCTCTTGCAAAAACAGATTATCCAAACTCACATAAACATCAGCATAATAATCCTATCAATTCCTTCCATTTCACATTTTAAAAAAATTCACAATTTTGTGCAATCACATATTACTATATCTAAAACTCGTTTTTCTTTTCTTTTTTCTACATGAAAGTACCAGTATCCTCTGTTAATTAGGTAATATCTTTACTTGATATAAAACTATACATGTGCTGCTTGTGTTATGTACTGTGAATCGGATTAATTTTAATACCCACCATGGTTTAACATTCACACACAAAGACTATAGAAACCTAAACAATAACTCATGATTCTGAACTCCCAACATTCATGTTACAAATTGGCCATCCTAATTAAACCCTTAAACTACGTTTCCTTGACAATGCACTAGTTTACACCATAGCGAGTAGAGTAGAGAAAGCTGGGTCACCTGGGGGGTGTTTCACAAAGATCCTAAGATGAACTTATCTCTAAGTTGGACTTAAAAATTATGGAAAGCCGTTAGCATCTTTGAAAATATTTTGTAAAAGTTATTTTGAAAGGCTTAAAATGTTGATTCAAATCATTCATATCTTCTATCATCGAGGAGATTTAATATTCTGGATGTGGAATTTATAAAAAGTCTAAAATACTTGAATTTCTGCTTTTGAATATATTTTATTTTAAGGATACAAATGGCTCTTCATAATTTCTAAGTCCAACTTAGAGTTAAGTTTGACTTAGAATCTTTGTGAAACACCCCCAGAAGTAATACTTGTTCTCAGGTCAAATTCATGACCTATAGTCCCCTGCCATACAGTTGTATTTCAAGCGGCATAAACTGACCTCTGAGCATGCTTGCGTATGCATGTCACAACTACATCTCTATATACGCTATGGGTCACGGTATGTTACATATCCATGTACCTGACATGTCTATCAGTAATTCCAAGGTGGGGAATCTTTTTTTTTTCTCTCTCAAACGTACAGATAAATGAAATGGAACTACATCCTGATTTTCATATCATCAAAATTAATTAGTGGGAAGTTAGAAACAAACAATTTATTACTAAAACGATGAACGAATAAAAATCATTTATCAGAATCACAATTCAATCAAACAACATATAGACAAAAAACATACTTTAAGACATAGTTTTGACACAATATGAAAAATATTTACAATGCAATATTAAATTTAAGCAAATAAAGTAACATCTCCATAAAATCTCCTTATAATCATAAAACATTTCTGTTTTCAATAATGATAGTTTTTGCAACATCTTTCATTTCAAATTATAGCATACATATCAGCATCACAGAGCTGGGAATAGCCGGTGCATATATATCTTAGTACCGGTATGTACCAAGCATGAAAACATCAATGCAATATAATGCCCTCTGCTACACATACTCATGTTTTCAAGTTTTAATACACAGCCAGGCTCAACACTGTCCTGGAGCACATTTTGTATTAATTCATCTATATTGTCAAAACATTCAACATTTGAATATAGAACAAACATAAATAGACTGAGGTCCTATGATTTGAACTCCAGAACCACAACATTTAAAAACAACTAAACCAGGGGCCTCATGAACACATCCCCTATAGAGTAAAGGACCCGTTTCACAAAGCCCTTTTACAATGACTAATGACGAAAGTCAGTGACAAATCTGTTGACAACCAATCAGAAGCAAGGATTTCAGTAGCTTATAACAAAAAACTGTCATTTGTCACCGATGAACATTTTGTGAACCCCCCCCCCCCCCCCCTGGTGTGGAGCTCTGCGAAAATCTACATGCTTTCAATCCTTCAAAACACTAGGTATACTAATATATGACCGGTAGCAGAAATCCAGAACGAGTAATGTAGAACAAGGTTCTATTGCTTTATTTTAATTCACTGATAAGATTTGTTAAATCCTGATAAAAGTGAGGAATAGCAATGCAATGCTTTGTCTAACAAAACCAGAATATCTATACAGTATACTAAAGATTGAAATTAGGATGTAATTATAAACTGGAGATGAGACTAGTAGTGATAGCAGTAGTAGCATTTTGGTGTAGCTTTTTTTCCTGCAAAATAGTCAATCAAATAATTAATGTAAATCATTCATCCAAATTACAGAAATAGTTCTCTTGAAAAACGTAGCTGCAGTGCTTGAAATCTGATACAACGTATCTCACTCTCGATTTAAACACTGACAGAACATAAAATCATACACTGACATTCCATGATATCAAAAAATAACTTAGATTGAAAATGGAATGTCATGCAATGAAATATGAATGAAAGAAAGTAGAATTTGTAAATACACGGAGAGAGATAAAAAGATTACCGGTATGTACTTTTATTTCTGTCAAATTCCTATGGAGATTAAACAAAAAAGGATTTTAAAGCACTTTAATCAAAACAGCAGTGATATAATCTGCTATGAGCCAGAATGACGTTTACTCACTTTCTTTAACATCTATATAGAGTTAATGCCCATTTGGCCATCTACAGACAATATCACACAATTCAAAATAATATATCAATCATTTAAAGTATTGTATAGCAAGTGCACTTCTCCCCACAGGAAAATATTTGTATTTTTTTTTTTCATTATTTTTTTTTATAAAAACCCCTGCTTTGTCAAAGGCATAATCGAGATGATATCAAACAAAGCTACCATGAAATATTAAAAGTTTCTTACTAAGAATATGTGAGGTATGATACCTGAAGCAACCATCAGTAATCATTTAGTTTGTTTTGTATGGTATACCCCTGTATCTATTCACAATGTCATACACGAAGCACACACATTTAAAGCCCCACTGCACTACTTGCGCCCTCTATACAGCCAACAATGCCTAAGCGATACTTGTTGATTCCTCATGATGCCCTTTTTCTTATATTATTTGAGAGCTGATTTGATGAGATAACCACCTGCCAGTGACCTTGCAGGTGCCTAACTAGTGCAGAGGGGCTTTAAAAGAAAAAAATTGTGGCCTTCACGAACCCTTGCCTACTTGTGATACAATAATTTAAAGCCCTGTCAAAATGCTATTTGAATATGTCCACACACTAGTACTAAAATAAAGAGATTGGACTATGGTGTATTATGTTTGAATGAGTGAATACATCATTGCTATCCTGAACATAAGTAATGCCTCATCATATAAGTTGAATTAATTGATTATTTTTTTGAGGTGAATTTCATGCTTTGTTCTGGATAATCAAAAATGAAAACACAGGTAAAAATATTTGCATAATGTTCAACTGAATATGAAACAAGTGGAGTAGGCGAAACATAAATTGCTCATACAGCATAAAGGTTAAAATTCTATGCTTTGTGACTAACAGCATAAGAAAACATTGAATGTATAATCAAAAATACACAAAGAAGAAACTAATTTGGGCTTACTGTTCATTCTTACGATTTATACTATGTGGCCTTCTTCACTGCGATTCATCAATATTCGTAGTACCAATGATCTCATTTGTCACTCTAAAACAGTCGACGCGGTATAAGCAATTAATGTGGTAAGATAGGAACTTTATATATGTACAAGTTACGAGCTATTTCAATATAAAAGAGTACTTAAGTTCAGAAAGAAAGTTAAAACTTGAATCTTTACATAAACCTGATCCTCATTTTGTTTGGTTCTATTTCTTAGCTATTTCATAATGATAGATTGCAGAGAGATTTGACACAGACTTCCTGAGTAATGTTCACAAACCTTGACAAAATTGTGGATCCAAATCAGAAAGAGTAAGCAATTGGTAAAAGTTTCAGTTACAACCTATACTACCGATCATCTTATTGTACATGTACCAGCCTACAACTATGTGTAATTTTAAATAAATACAAAGGAGCATACCTATCTTGCTCACAGGTGGCTTGTGGCAGTGTGGTTACCGACATCTTCAAGATTTTACATTGAAATTTGTTGGCAACAGGCTTGCAAAAGAATAAGCAGAGCTAGAGGAGATCTAGATCACACGTAGTAGCCACTGCAGAGCTTCATTGATAATTCAACTGAGAAAAAGTTCTTTTTTCACAATGAGAAATTATTACCTGCTGTGGTTACAATTGACTTATGCTGCCCTCTATTTCTCAACTGTTATAGCTATTACAAACTAGCAGAATACCCTTCATCATCACTACTGTCTTCACCTATTAATCTCATTGGATTCTAAGGCAGTGCTTTCCTTGGCGACAAGTTTTTCAAAAGAACTACACTCTATTTCAGGACCACAACCCTCTGCAGACACCTCGGCCTTAGAAAAATGGGATCGGACTGATCCTCCTAAAGCAGCAAGTGTGTCGTCATTACAATGGTGCTGGCATTTATAACAGATACCTTGAATATATACATGCTGTATTTGCAATTTTTGAAGGAGAGCAGTATCTGGTGAATGGCTTTCAACAGAACTGGCAACATTTGAGATGGCCCTTCCATGCTTTGACCACACAAGAATATCATATAGTTACTTGGCCTTTTGACAGAGAGGACTTGGCTTGAGTGGTCTGGAGCACTTCTTACACACACTGTGGCCGCAAAGGAAGACCACATTGCGTTTGTTCTCCATGCAGATTGGACACAACAACTCATCCTATCAGTGATGGTCTTTCAAGTGAACCGTTCTGGACAGGTCTCGAGTACTTTAAAAGCAGATGGTTTGTCCACACAAGCATATCAAAAATGGCCATATGCATTCAATATTTATAACAGTCTTTACCTTTTATAAGACAGAATGTACCAAGAGTGTGCTAAGTAAAGAGAGCGATCTTTTTGGTGATAGGCTTTCGACAGAGAGGACATTGCTTGAGCGGTCTGGAGCACTTCTTACACACGCTGTGGCCGCAGAGGAAGACCACATTGCGTTTGTTCTCCATGCAGATCGGACATAGCACCTCCTCCTCCATCTGCTGGTATTGCTCCTTGAGTTTTTTAAGCTCCTCCTCCTTAGAGACCCGACTCGATGATGACGACGCCCCTCTGGGAGTTAAGGAGCCTGATGATGACGGAGCTTGGGCAGCCTTAGCTCCTAAAATAGAGGTAAGATTAATATTAATTTAGATAGGAATTCCAAGAAAACTGTCATGCATTTTGTTTTCTTTGAAATGATAATGGTGACGTTTACCTCCTGGCAAAATATTGTGACTAGTTACTTTTGTAGCAACATCATTTCAACTGTTTTAAAAGAAAACCTTTTTACTAAGTGAAAACGAAGATGCCTCATGGGGATTACTGTTTTAATTTCTCGTTTATTCATCTACCAATGCTACCTACCATAAATGTATACAATAATAGAAAGTGAGCAGCATTTACAAAAATATTTTATATTCCTTGATTCCTCTCTGATTTATATTTAACAAATAACAAGATATCTTTCAACAAATCAAAAGATATTTAAAAGGGTATTTGAGCAGCAGACATACACTTTAACCCTATATAGCCTGGACTATTTTGAAACTGCATAGCCTGGGGGGGTGGGCTTCTAAGGCCCACCTCCCTTGATCTCAGCCGTGAAACGGACAATCGCCGCGAACATTTGCATGCATCTCAAGTGAAAAGTATAGAATACTAATAATTTCTATTTTTTGAAAAAATTCACTCATTTGCATATTTATAGTAATTTATGCAATTACGGTCATAAAATTCACACCTTTACCTATAAATCATATATTCTTCATATTTAAACATTAGTTTTTCACTACATATATTCTTTAGACCATTTGGAATAATAGTACAACAAAAAAACTTGGAAGAGCCAGGTTATTCCCTATGTTATTTATTGTTTTGATAGTCTATTATGTTTTTGTTTTTTTAAACTTATGTATTTTATTATATTGTTGTTTTATTTCATTTCTAACTACCGGTATAATTTTTTGACCCACAAAATAAACACCTAAACTATAAACAAGACCAAATAACAATGTTTTATCTCTTTATTGGTAAAATGATGTTTTGTACACAAAACACAAAATGTGCGACTTTCGGGCTGACATGCGAAGACAAAAGGTCAAAATTGTGACCAGAAATTAACCTTTTTTTGTTTGTTTGTTTAAAAAAAAAGGGGGGGGGGTGGGGTGGTGTTGAGTAAGGAATTAACCTGAACCTTGTTTTGAGCTTGAGGGACGCTGATGGTGCTGGGATGAAGATGAACCAGACTGAGATGACATGGAGATGCGGTGACCGGCTGGGTGTGGTTGGTAGTGGGCGGGGCACAATAAAGACATGCATAAATCATAAAGCAATGGTCATGCAGGATGTCATAATGCATTGTGAGACATGAGAATGAACCAAAGATAAAGAACAAGGACCCTGTTTCACAAATCCTTTTTTCAATGATAAATCAGTGACAAATCTGCTGATAACTAATCAGAAGCAAGGATTTCAGTAGCTTATAACAAAAGCTGTTATTTGTCACTGACGTCAAGTTTTGTGCAACGCCTCCCAGATTATCTAACGAGAGCCTGGAGGGGGTTAACTCATTTTCTTTTGAAATGGAGTTAAAGTGAACCGGTAACATTGTTGAAGGTTGATGACAAAACCTGAATAATTTTTGTATGAAATGTTACTTATTATATTCCTTCTACTGTACTAACTCTCTAACATGCAAACAATCCTGAAACATTCTCAAACCACAAAAATGTGTACCTCCCTCTAACAGTAAATGCTCCTAACCAATTTTGGAATTATCCCAATCGCATTTTAATGAAAATAGGACATAAAACAGGCTTTAAAAAACCTTTCAACACTGAAATGTTTGGAATGGTATATAGAGCCAATTCATTGCTTTGTGACGATTTACATTCACCTAAAATTTAATTTAATTATAATAATATAGTTGGGAGAAATTAGGAATCGATCAGATCAGTTTTTCCAGATTTTATCATTCATAATGGTCTGTTTTTCACTAGAAATTCATATTATCTTTAATTGTACATCTAGCATTGAAGTCACTACCTTAGCACCATTTTCTCTCATCTGAACAATGTTACCAAGTCCCTTAAACGCCCTGCAGGCTCTCAACAGACAGTATGTACGGTAAAAGCAACTACGTGTTTCATAACCATTAATTTCAAAATAAAAATTGAGAAATGAAACAGGAACTATACACGTATTCTACTTGCAAAACAAAATAAAACTTCAAACATACATTGTAAACGAACTAAGAGATGAACTACAGTGTAAAAAAAAAAGAAGAAAAAGATTAAACAACAACTTAAAGGTTCGTTCAGATATGACGTGGCAAACCTTGATGGATTTTTATGAAGAAAAAAATGTAATACACTTCACATTTCTGTATCTTATAACACAGACCTCAGTGAATAGACGCAAGTCCTATGTTGCACACAGCTGCCATTCATTTACACACGAAAAAAGAGTAGCGGCTTTTTTGCGGCTTTCTAGCGCCATATCTGAACAACTCTTGGGATGGATGCAATAAAACAATCACATTCATGCAGCCATGATGTACAGATGAAGCATTGTCCATGAAAATAACATGTACTCAAAACTAGGCAAACTACATAACACGTGTGCATGTAAGGGACAATTTATAACACAGGGGGCATACATACATGTATACTATCAAAGGGCATCTGGCTAAATCGGCACTGTCCAGTGAATAGGTTTCAAGAATTGAAGTGCCACTAGATAGCCCTAAATTTCAAATTTTATGCAATTTCCTGTCCTGATATTTTCAAATTACCTCTGCTGCATATATTCTACACAAGGCTAGGTTACAGTGGAAAACAGTGTCCCTGAGATACGACGTTATTCCCCATGCCAAGGAGGGTCAAACCTTTGTGTCGAGTTAGCCTGGATATTATGTAAGCACTAAGATACATGCCAAATGACTCAAGTTGCTGAAGTCTGTCAATCACATTGTCTTTGCTGTCGATCTTACCTTTGTCTAGCATTTCTCTGACAGGTTGTTGACAGGCCCTGCAAGATTTTTCTTTATTACAGCATCCTACATCAATGATAAAGATATTTTTTGTTTTTTTTGTTGTTGTTGTTGTATATTATCGGGTTATATAATAACTATAAACAAAACAAACAAATAACCCTGATATATATAAAATCATGTATACGTCTTATAGCACTGTTTGTTATTTCATGTATTTGTAATAATTTTTTGCGTACAGGGTCTCTTAGAAAAACAGTATTAATACTGAGAGAGTTACCCTGTTTAAAAAAAACTAATAAAAAAATAAAATTAATAAAAGAACAATGGCTCAGGGGTTATTACCTTGGCCCTGCACAATTTTATCTATGGTTCAAATCACCTTGTTTGTTTCCCCTCCCCCTCTATTATGAACTACTTGTACCATTACAGAAAATAAGGTTTCTATAAAATAAAGATCAGTTTCTATTTCAAAATGCTCAAATATATTCATTTTGATGGCTGTAACATAAATAAATTTCAATAGCATGATTCAGCCGTAATGGACCTTTAGAATAAATTTGTGTATATTTGTCTCTATATTCCATGCTGTCTGGTCCAACCGGGCATGGGGGCTCAGTGGTTAGAGCACTCGCCTCATGAACGGGAGGTCGTGGGTTCAAACCCAGGCCGAGTCATACCAAAGACTTATAACAATGGCACCATCTGCCTTCTAGCTCAGCATATTAGATTGGAGAAGGGTAGTAATAACATATTATGTTATGCAGGGCCCGCTGAAAGAGCAGTTTCATAACTGAAGTGGCTACCCTGGGTAAATAAAACATTATTATTATTATTATTATTATTATTATTATCTTTCTCAAGACTGATATTTGATAAATAATAATAATAGTTCAGTTCTTGTATAGCGCACAGTGCATTTCAAGGAATAATCCTACCAGGTACCCATTTACCTCACCTGGGTTGAGTGTGGCAAATGTAGATCAATGTCTTGCCAAAGGACATTAGTGCCGCGGCGGGACTCGAACCGCAGACCTTGCGATCGGCAGTCCGGTGACGTATCCACTCGACCACAACACCTCTACAACTGATAATGATAAGCAATACAAATTGTTGTAACACTCACCTCTGCATACATTCTTATGGCCACAGGGTGAGAACGTGACTTCAGCCTTGTTTGTTGAACAGATTGCACATTTCTTCTCCTCTACTCTCACTCTATCCTTCACCTCAGCCTGGTAACAAATTGAAAAAATGATGGAGAATTTCAGATGCCATAAATATACAGTAAAACCTGTCTATAGCGACCACCCAAGGGAAACACAAATAGCGGCCGTTGTAAACAGGTATGCGTTGGCGGCCATTTTGATTTTGAATAATTGATTGACACCTCAACCTAGGAACACATTGAAAAAAAATGTAGGAGAATTTCAGATGCCATAGATATACTACAACACAACGATGTGGTTAGAAAAAGTGTTTTTGTTTTGATGAAGTTGAATTCTGGCAATAAATGAAACTACTGGGAAAGATCGATAACGAAAGGTAAGAAATCATGATTAAGTATGTGTAGAGGTAAAAGTGGTTAAGATGTGGGCTGATACAGCCTATTAAACTTGAAATTAATTTGCCATTGATAATAACACAGGATTCACACAGAAATTTGAGAAGTGAATTCCATGACTTTCCACGACCCATTTTCCATGACAGGATAAGTACCATTTTGGTATGGGTTGCGGCATCCAAACGGCGTACGATTACCACGTAGTGATATATATATATATATTATACAGTAGGCTTGTGGTTGCACCATGTGAGAGAGAGAGGGGGAGGGTTGGGAAGTCCTGAAAAAGACTCTCTGCAATCTTTTTTTCTTGAGTGTGTGTAGTCCTGAAAAGGAATGTTGGTGTAGTCTTGAAAAAGACTGTTGGTTATCTTTCTTAGCTTATAGTTATAAGGAGAACTATAACACCGGTTGGAGAGGATGGGTAGTACGTAGTAGGAGTGGCTCTCTATATATTATTTAATGCTTGTGATCGCCTCTACCTCTCCTCACACTTTCCATGAGTTTGTGAGAATTTTTATTTCATTTTCCATGACTCCCCATAACTTTCCGGAAAAACTCATTTTTTAAATGATTTTCCAGGTTGTTCCATTCCCATGGGAAACCTGTAACATGAATCAAACTTCATTTACCAATATTTCTTGCTTAAATCAAAGAACATGGATCTAGGGGATTTGATGTATTACAAATGGAAGCCTTCATTTCTTCATTATGATCCCAGGGGGGTGTTTCACAAAGATCTTAAGGTGAACTTATCTCTAAGTTGGACTATTATGGAAAGCCGTTAGCATCTATGAAAATATTTTGTAAAAATTATTTTAGAAAGCATAACATTTTGATTCAAATCACTCATGTTTTATATTATCAAGGAGATTTCATGTTCTTTATGTGGAATTGATAAAAAGTCTGAAATACTTGAATTTTCACTTTTGAATATATTTTATTATAAGGCTACAAATGGCTTTCCATAATATTCAAGTCCAACTTACAGATAAGTTCATCTTAGGATCTTTGTGAAACAACCCCCAGGTGCGCATCTCTTCCTGATGAAACAGTATAAGCGTTATATTTGCATGCATGATATGTATACCATCGTAGAATGAGAATAGGAGAAACAGCCAGCATACCTTGCAAGAAAAGCACTTCTGGAAGAGCACTGCACAGTCCATACACGCCACCTGATGACCGCAGGGTTTGAACTGACAGTTGGCAGGCTTCTGGCACATCCTGCAGTCTGACATCATCGCCTCAAGATTGGCAGGGGAATCCCCGGAGGGACCCTCCACCGATGATGCAGGGGGTCCTGCGGGGGTTGAGGGCCCTGCGGGTGCGGGGGGTCCAGCGGGTGTGGAGGGGCCTCGGACATTCTGGGAGGTGCCTGCTGGAGAGAGAGAAATATGTCACAATAATTGTGATAATCAGACGTATGTAGCACCTTCTCTAGAGGCTACTGAACGAATTACCTTAAAGGCCATCTGTACTAGTGTAAAGGAGGGATCAGACCACACAGTGTGGTCAAAGACAGGTGGTTATCTCATCAACTCAGCTCTCATTTAACATAAGAAAAAGAGGATCATAGGGGACCAATGGTCACTGATTAGGCATTGTTTGTTATATAGAGGACGCAAGTAGCTTCAAGTAGTGCAGTGTCGCTTAAGCTCTGGTATGGGCATCGTATGTCAAGAGAACATGACTATAATTCATTCTGGATTGTTTATCCTGCAGTAGATTGATTGTTTGAACCAGTAAAATAAAACAACCTCACAAAAACTTGCTGGAAATCATCTTCAATAAAACCATGAGCATATCACCACACTGGGGAGGGGTAGCGGTGGAGAGGGGTTTTAAAACTAATTCTGATTGAGAGGGGGTTGTTGGGGTGAAGGGGTGAAGGGATGGTAGGGTGGGGAAGGTGGGGTTGCTTGGGAACTCACCTGACGGCGGGGGTGAGGCACCAGAAGACATTGGGTTGACATTCTGACTGGTGGACGTGCCTGGGTGGGGTGCAAGCAATGATTATCTTTCACTGCTAATATAGCTATAGCTAGATAACTATAAAAGAACCATGTATCTCATATGTACCAGAACCCTCATGGTGTCAAACTGAAATAGCATAAGCAATCTTCACAGAAAATCAAACCCTCTAAATTGATGAAAGAAAGGTAGATTGTACATGTAGATTAGTAAAGGAATGGGGAAGAATACCAAGGGTTGGGAGCATATCATCACACAGGGGAGGGGTAGCAGTGGAGAGAGGTCTTTAAGCTAACTCTGATTGAGAAGGGGTTGTTGGAGTGTAGGAAGGGGTGAAAAGGAAGGTGGGGGGGGGGGGAGAATGAAGAGGGAGGGGGAGTGTGGGGTTGCTTGGGAACATACCTGACGGCGGGGGTGAGGCACCAGAAGACATTGGGTTGACATTCTGACTGGTGGACGTGCCTGGGTGGGGTGCAAGCACTGATTATCTTTCATTGCTAAATATAGCTATTGCTAGCTAACTACAAAAGTGTTTTCTCCCTTACATGCTGGAATGGAGCAAGCGGGTTAGGATATGCAATTACTGTTCAAAATTTATACTTGGTACATCTATCTCCTGTTAAATTCATTAAAACATTGGTTCATGATGCAAAAAAAGAGAGTAAAATATGTCGCTGATACCAGATTAAGTTGAAATACCAATTAATGTGTGTACAGGCCTCTCAGGCAGCTAACCCGTTGTCCCACCAGAAAATACTCCAGCTTGCCTTCATATTTCAAGGATGAGGGAAATCATACGATGATGAGAATTACTACAGGCGGTAGGTTCAGGGCACAGTGCGTTACACAAGCCCTGTCGGTCATAAAAGTGAAGTCCACTCTTGGTGACTAACAACACCTGTTAGGCCTAACAAAAAAAGATGTTGTATTGCCCTTTAGGTGCCAAAACATTGGTTGATCGGTCGAAAATCTTTTTTTTTTACTTTATTTTTTATATTTTTACTCCCTCTTTGGGCTGATATTTCTCAGTTTTGTATGCTTTTTTTTTAAAAAGCCGACCGTAGGTTTCAAGATTTTTGGGTCGGTCGCAAAGGGCAATACAACATTTTTTTTTTAGGCCTTTTTTGATAAACACCCAAATGGTGTCAAATTCTCCAGGAGAACCCACTACTGTGAGCCTTTAACGTACATTTGTACGAAGCACCTATATTCATCTAGGGATTAGTTGTCAAGAAATGGGAATGACTATGGCCTTACCAGGTGTATCTCCTCTGCTACTAGCCAGAAGTCGCTCTTGACTTGCACTCCTACGTCTTCTGCCGTGCTTGGCATCTTTATCCTGTCTCTGCTTTTGTCTGTGAAGTAAAAAATGATGGGGATCATCCAAGTAAGCAATGCACTATCAAGTCATCTACTTCAGTATCCAATGCAAAATTTTTGACCCTAGTTCTAAATATACTTTAAAGATGAAATATTGACAAAACTACACCAGACAAATGCCCATAACACATGATTTAAAGACAATATCGATGCCCGTTGAAATTTTGTTTGACCAAATCCATGGGTTTTTAAAGTGTGCCAATCACCCACAAAATATTTTGTTTCTTAAATTAGTAGTTCCATGTCATAATACTATATTAAAAAATAATCTTCAAACAATACTTCTGTAGAGAGATTTGTACGCTATGCACACATAATATGTGCAAGCTTCGATTTGTTTCTGACTGACATCAATAGGTGGTATTTATGAAAGCGGACTAACTTTAGTCCATGGTTTAATCCACCGACTAAGTATGGAATGCCAAGTGTCCATATGAATATGTTTTTGAATAACTTAATCTGTCACTAAATTAAAATATAATGTAATAACATAATTAATAAAACAACAATATAACTATGATATAATTATGTTATCATGGTAATTTAAGGACATATCAAATTATTCAAAAATATAGTCATATGGACACTTGGGATTCCACACTTAGTCGGTGGATTAAACCATGGACTAAAGTTAGTCCGCTTTTGAGAATACAATGAGACCAATCCTGTTTCTCACCTTCTTTGCTCATACAGCTGAAGCAGGTAGTTCTTGATCTTGATGTCTAGGACCAGGTCTAACGGGGACTTGCTCTGATGGTTCCTGTGAGTTAGACTACCCCCAGCCTGGACCAAGAAACAGACCGAGGCTATCGCCATGTTCACCACCAAACCACTCACTATCTTTGTTCGGTACTGCAGCAAGAAAAATAGAGATAAAGAGTGGCATAATTAGAGGAAGATAGAGGGGAAGAAAGAGATAAAGAAACGTAGAGACCGAGAGGAATGTATAAGTTTTCTGTAATAATCACAAATCACAAATCCAATATTCACCGTAAAAAAAACTTACAAGACTGCAAACTGCCTAAGATAGGGCACAACTTAGAAGGGGACATAATTGAATATAAAATACTACCTGTTGAATGATATGCGAGTCATCTCTCTAAGCATACACCTCTAGTCATGACAGATTGTACAAGACAAGACTGCAAGCTGCCTAAGGAGCTGAGGAAATCTTACCTTCTTTATAAAATATTCTTGATATTCTTGTTCGCTTTCATTTGTACTGCCCTCTTATACATGTAGATACAGTTTTTTGTTGCTGCTGCAGAAGTGTACTTCTCTTCTTTTTTTTTTTTTTTTTTTCTTGTTTATATTAATGTTCGATGTTGATATTTTTTAGTATAATTAATGTTGATCTTTTTATGTATTGGTGGCCCCTTTTTATAAGCTCTGCTTTCTCCGGGGTCACCAAACCATCATTGCGTTATTCTAAATCTTGATGTAACTTCTTTTGATTGTATATATATTTTGATGGTTGAACAATAAATGAAATTGAATTGAAATTGAATTGAATTGAAGATAGGGCACAACTTAGAAGAAGGGGACATTATTGAATATAAAAATACTACCTGTTGAATGATAGGCGAGTCATCTCTCTCAGCATACACCTCTAGTCATGACAGATTTTACAAGACAAGACTGCAAGCTGCCTAAGATAGGGCACACTTAGAAGAAGGGGACATAATTGAATATAAAATACTACCTGCTGGATGATAGGGGAGTCATCTCTTTCAGCATACACTTCTTGCCTGACCAAAGCGAGATGGAGACTGGTGTCACCATCCTCATCCTCTGCAGATACCTCTGCTCCCTTGGTAACCATGAGCTCGATGACATGGGTGTGGCCCTGTCCTGCTGCCAGGATCAGGGGAGTCTGACGGCGGTTGTTGCGCACGTTCAGGTCACCGTGTCCCTAGGATGGAGGAAGGATCACAGATTGAGTGTTGAATTCAAGAAGTTTGTGATACTGTTATGTTCTTGGATTTTTCAAGAATAATTAAAGGCCGGCTGTACAAGTTTAGCCAGGAGGGATTAGACCACACAGCGTGGTCAATGACAGGTGGCTATCTCATCAATTCAGCTCTCAATTAACATAAGAAAAAGATCATGGGGGACCAATGGTCACCAATTAGGCATTGTTTTCTATATAGAGGAAGCAAGCAGCTTCAAGTAGGACAGTGGGGCTTTAAAACTTTTTTCATGTAATCAACATATATGCAATTTCATACTGAATTGTCACACAGTACTACGAGGTAACCTCAAACATTTTGGCGACAAATAATAACTACAATATAGTAAAGCACATAAGCTGAGAGCTGGATGGGCAAAAAATCACATATCCTTTCATACACAGTTAAGGCCTTTTTGGCTCTCAAAACATATTGTTCACCTTTATTAACAGGCAGATTACCTGAAGAAAGACTGAAGGGCAGGCAAACAAGGATAACACAAACAGACACAGGCAGACAGACAGACAAACACACAAACATACACAATGACAGATGGATACATGTAGACAGACATGCACAGTCAGAGAACAGAGGATAACAAAGAGGCAAGCAGAATGCTGAGAAGAAGAAAAAAATAGACAGACCAACAGACAAACAAACATACAAACATATAAACAGGCATATACATGTAGATAGACAAGGAGATATGAACAAAGACAAATGCAGTCAACCCTGTGTCCGTGGCCACCTCTATATAAAGGCCACCTGTCTATGGTGGCCAATCACGTTGTCTCTCATGAGATAATAATAATCTTTTTAAAGTCCACTCCTAATTTTATCAAGTTAAACCGAAAATGGAAGTTCTTGTTGCCCAATTGATCGTGAGCCCGGCAGCCACTGAGCAGCGCCAGATCGACGAAGGAATGTGTGCTGCAGAACCTGTCTAGAAAGACCACTTATCAACAGTGGTCCCTTTTTCCGTTTCCCTTGAATGGCCTTAATAGACAGGTTTGAATGCGTCTAGTATGACAGCCAAGAAGACAGACAGACAGACAGACAGACAGACAAGGAACAAACCTGTACTAGCAGTGTCTCTGCAACATCTCTATGGCCATTAAGAGCTGCTAGATGAAGAGCTGCATAACCGTCGTCTTTCTTGAGGTTCACAAGCTGTCGTGCCTTGGTTACCAGTTTCTCAGTGGCACTGAAAAGAAGAAAAAAGAATGAAAAAAAAACAACACTTAGTCTAGGGATACTCCAAATAAGCTAGCATTATGACTTGACTTGTTTTGAGTACAGAGAATGAAATATCTGGCTTGACACTTAACTTCTCACTAAATGTATCTGTATATGAAGAGCTTAATTCCAAAAGGATCTAAACCCTCTTTTGATGAAAATTGATTAATTGATATCAGAACATTGTTCACTTAAGTACCTGTCTTTCAACAAAATTATTTACCTAAATTTTTGGAGCAATTATGAAAAAATGCACCTTCTGATATCACTTTTCCATAGACGCCGGTACAAAATCTGGTAAACAAGTTCTTTTTTCTCTAAAGTTACAAAAATGGATTTAGCTCCTTTTGGAATTAAACTCTTGCTATGATCCAGGTAGTTGAGTGCAGTGATCCTTGTTCCAAACACATTACCCGACACACAAATTCGCCCTCAGGATGAAAAGGATTAGAAATAACAAAATATCAAAGAATCGACTTACTATTTGTTGCCCTTGAGGGCAGCGTGATGAAGCACGTTGAACCCTCTCCTGTTCTTGAGGCTCAGGTCAGCTCCATGGGCCTCGACGAGAAGATCGATGATGTCACGGTTGTCCTTTGCGATGGCATCGTGGAGCGCAGTGTCACCATACAGGTCCTATAACGAGAGAATAAAAGCCATAGATTGAACTCCTTCCTTAAAGGTAAAGACCAGTTTTGGAACCCCCCCCCTCTCAAAAAATGAAATGGAAGCTCTTATTACCAATCATGTGAAAGAATATGTTTTGACTAATACGTGATCACACAAATTTTGCCGAGAAACCGCCTACTGATTAATATATTTGGTAAGTTATTATATCTATTTGGACCTGATACGTGCGCGTAGTCCAATATACATCTTTCTGTGTACAGTGCTTGTAACTTTACTAAGACTGGGCCAAATTTCTTATAATTTTGATGATTCCACAACCTTGCAGTACACACCAATACTTATATGCTAGATGATCAACCTTTTCCTGACCGATATCACAACGTTTCTTTCACAATGCAATCGCATGACCATAACTGGTCTTTTTCTTTAATTCAATCTAATCAAATACACTGCTCACACATATACATGTACATGTATCTGGAAGTCTTTTAAAAATGGATACAAGACTGAAAAACACTATTCATAATGTCCTACGTAGAGTGGTACTCAGCATTAAAAGAATTCCTTCCTACCGGTACCCATAGCTTCGATTGAAAAAGAACAGAAGTTTTCACCTTGCTTCCACTCAGTAAGATGCAGGAATGTTCATAAAGCCAAATTAAGGATTACTTTTGAGGAGAATTGATAACTCCTTCGTGTCTCCTAAGATCAAGATAAATGTATCTTGATCTTCAGAATAGTTGCTACAACCGGCCGTGTCAGACACATTGCCCCAGGGTGTGAGATAGGACTCTTGTAGCGCGCCCCCACTTGACACAATTATACAATAACAATTAACATTACATTTAGTTAAAAGAATGAAGCGATTAAAATTACTCTCATGTTATGGGGAAAAATATATGATATATATATATATATATATATATATATATTATGAATTAATTGACTTGGTCGTTCCAGTTCGCTGGCACAAACACAGCACAACTGGACAGAGATCCTAATAATTACAGAGCTTGGTCTTGTTGCTCCGTTCGCCAGCAGTTTGAGGATATGGAATCCCGCGCCACATTACTCACAAGAGTTCTAACAAGCCAAGCTTATAAAGAGAATTGATGATTTACCTGTAAATTAGCATTACATCTGTGCCTCAGAAGCACCCGGACGCAATCTACAAAGCCTTTGTTGACTGCCACATGCAGACTACTACAGCTACCCTTGTTGACGACGTTCATGTCGGCATTCTTGCTGATCAGGTACTCCACAATGTCTGGTTGTTTGCTGCAAGATATACAACAGAACATAACGGATTTAAAGAGAAGTTTGAGTTCTGGGAAGAGTTGAAAAATGATGTGTGAGCGTTATCATTGTATTATGGAAGTGCAGAAGAACATCAGATTAAAAATGTTCCCTGAAAAGCAGGGCTCTTCAAATGCCTTAATATTCTAAATATGGCATGTAACAGCATAAAAATCGGGACATATTTTTACGCCACATGTTTTTTGTAGTTCCATATACATCTTTCTGTGTACAGTGCTTGTAACTTTATCAAGATTGGGCCAAATTTCTTATCATTTTGATGATTCCAGAACCTTGCAGAACACATCAATACTTATTTGCTAGATGACCAATTTTTTCTGATCCTTTCCACAACATTACTTTCACAATGCAATCGCATGACCAGAACTCAACTTTATCTTTAACCCCCTGACTGTTGAAATCTCTTATTCCCTCAGGATTTAGTACAGGAGCCACTAGTTCTCATGTGCAATGGGTTAACTTGGGATGATGTATTTTGTTTCACTGATAATAATAATATTAATAATAATAGTGGGTTCTTGTATAGCCCTCATATCTGTGTCAGACTCGACACTCCTGGCGCTCCCGATTATTACCCCGGCTTTAGCACGGCTGCCATTACAGCACTCTAGCATTTCAAGGAATTGATTCCTGACAGGTACCCATTTACATCACCTGGGTTGAGTGTGGCCAATGTAGATCAATTTCTCGTCAAAGGACAATAAAAGAAAATGGAATCAAATTGAAGGAAAAAAAGGAAAGTCCACATGCGTTTCATTTGCAATATATGTACATATGACTTTTGTAATAATTCCTTGAGGTAATGTGTATTAATTAACACAAGAATGGCACATCTCACAATTTAGTATTGTAAAAATTAAACAAATAAAATGTCCAGTTACTGAACAAGAATAGGGAAGTTTTAGCACGGTATGTCTTCGAAAATGAGAAATCGCACTTGCAGCGGTAGTCTAACTGGCAATACGAGGTAAATCTGTACCAAAAAGCGAATACAAATTCACTGCTCGATCATGCAGCCATTCAACGCACGCAATACACAGTACTACGATGTAACCTCAAACATTTTGGCAACAAATAATAACTACAATATAGAAAATCAGAATATTCCGGACTATTCGGAAGGGTTGGCAGGTATGTTGACTCACCCGAAGACAGCGTAGTGAAGAGCAGTATCACCATCCTGGTCTTGGAGCTCCATCGTGACTTTGCCCAGACTGAGTACCTTGATGACCTCTAGATGACCCTGGTGACTGGCTACCTGTAGAGCGGTCTTACCAGACACCCTTGCATTCACCTGGGGGTAATGAAAGGTGTCAGAATGAAATCTACAAATGTACACGACTAGACTTTATAAACAAGTAGATTAACAAATGACTGATATATACATACATGTATATTATATATATTGTGTTTCTTTCTCACCCTTCTCTCTTTCTCCCCCCTCTTCTCTCTCTCTATTCTGTTCTCTCCTCTCTCCCTTTCATCAATTTTCATGCTTGAAATTCTGCTCTACATATTTATCTATGTGTTACTTTAGGTTTGAGCAGAAATAAAATTACTGAAATGAAACTTTAAAAAAAACTAGGAATTTCTAGCACGGTTTGCCCTCCAAAATTAGAAATCTGGATCCTTAACAGGCGGCAGTGTATTAACTGACAATACGCGGTAAGTCTGTACAAAAAAAGTGAATACAAATTCGCTCCTTGATCATGCAGCCATTCAAAGCACGCTACAAGTTAACTCTCAAATCGCGGCACATGATAAAACAAGCTTAATTTGGCTTGAGCAACAAAAAAAAAAACATTAAAAATTTAGAAGAAAAAAAAAAAAATTAAAAAATCAGAATATTCTGAATTTGGATGTCCTAAAAATCCAGACAATCTGAATATTCCGGATTAATCAGAAGGGTTGGCAGGTATGCTCTTATATCATTCCATGAGCTTCTTTCCTTACTATAACCTACCCAGTCAGGGTGCTTGGATATCAGCTCTGTGACTGTTCTTGTGTTCCCCTGGGCGGCTTCGCTCACCAGCTTATCCGGACTCTCATTGGGCGTTCGAAGGGTTAAGATCTCCTGCAACAGCTCGTGAAGATTACCTGTAGAAAAGGAAACGATCATTATACAAATGATGCATGCGCATGAGTTCATTATACGATATATCCACACTCGAGTTGAGGCTGTGTGTATCTATCACACAAAGCCATTAGGCTGAGTGCGATAGATACACACAGCATCAACGGGGGCGGATAGATCATATAATGAACGAATGAAAACATGCATCATTTGTTTTATACAACGAAAATCCTAGATCCTTGTTATTTGATGTAAAAAGATTTCACTCAAGATTGTTTCGTGACAGTATGGCTGACAAATCAATCTCAAGTTTAAAAGGCTCAATGTAGTGCGCACACATAGATAAGCACACTTACCTCTATACACATTTACGCAAAGTGCTGCGCAAGAATAGGCCCAAACGCAGTATAAGTGCCCAAACCTCTACACGAACTACTGCGCATCATGTACACGCACTAAAAAAAAACGTGCAATAGTCCTGGGAACTATTGCACACTTTTTCATGAAAAAGCGTGCAATAGGCCCAGTAAATGAATCACACGTGACCGCACAGGACCAATCATTTGATTAGGATCTAGGAGTTAGTTGTATAATGTCAACTATTCACATCGATTTCATTTCATCACATCCTGTTGTTCACAATAAAATCATTTCTATTCTAGCAAATACCAAACCTGCTTAGCAACCGCCTGTGTAGAAAGACATTAAATATTTCTCATTATTTATATGAACAGATATGAAAGAACACTACGGAAACTGGATCTTCAGAAACTAGTATTTTACATGGAGCCTTCAATATTCTTCTCAGAATATTAAGTATCAAATCATGAAAATTTGTTGTAAATTGAACCTGAATATAAAAAATGTTCAAGGGAGAGAAAAAGAAATCTTCATAAGCAAGTGGCCTTTATGTAGAGGGTCCTTCAGAACAGGGTTCAATGTGAATCACTGCTCAAGGGAAACGTAAAACTTGTCCTCAGTAAAGTTAGTCTTTCTATACAGGTGATCACTAAGCTGATTTGACTGCACTCAGTACTTGTATCCATTCTTTATCATACATAATACATATAGTGGTGGTTATTTTACCTGACTGCTAAGAAAGCATTAATGCTTGTTAGTAAGCAACCAGACGGCCGACGGCTTTAGGTCCTCTCTGAGGGACCTGGTAATGAGGATCAATGCCTTACCAAAGGGCACTATCGCATCGACTTGGTTTCGAACCCGGGTCACCGGATTACGAGGCCACTGCTCTACCAACTGAGCTATCGCGCCTCCTCTATCATGTGAGATTTGATCAACAAAGCATCTTCTAAATACACGAGAGTAGACTCACCCTGGAGTTCCTCAGCTCTGTCAGCGGTCATGGTGTTATTGAGGTCAGGCTTGCTTGACCTCTCAATGGGGGTCAAACAAGCGGGGTTGAACGTCCACACTTGCTTGTCTACCGACACACGGAGGTCACCGTCAGAGTAAATCTTGAGGATTTTCCCTTTCTTGCCAAGAGTCTGGGTAAATGTAAAAATGAAGGATAAATGAAATAATGGGTACATGCATGTCACTGTTTTGAGAAATTACAAATACTGGTAGACCAAAGGCTGTAGCATTGCAGCAACTAAAATTCCTCCTTGGTTATTCTCATTTCATTTTTAGTTCATCCTCTAGACTTTTCTCAAATGGTACTGTATTGGCAGCCACAAATGATATAATCATAGTGCAAGAAAAAAGAATCAAATAGTATGAATTTAAAACCCATATTATGTCATCGTTCGACGAGATCAAAAGACAGACAACCTGTCATTAGGTGTCTCATCTATGAGCACATGGTCTACAACCAGATCGATACCAAGTTTCCCTAAACTCTTGACCAGGGCAGTTCGTGCAAAGTGTATACATTAAGTGCATGCAAGCCTGAATCTGATGACTAGGGTAATATTAGAGGGAGATGGTCGTCAGTTTCCATTTGCAGTAGATCATAATTGGTCATGATAAACGAGTGTTCAAGTCTCGCACATGGCAAACCCGTAGTCCCATCAAGAAATACCCCCTAGTGTCTCTCGGAGAGTCTTTGGGTGAGGGAAAAGCAAGATAATGACTTTTCTGTATGGGGCGATTGGTGGAAAATGCAGAGCATTACATGAGGGCTAATCCTGGTGATTGACAACACCTGTTATCCGGTTAACACCCGAATGGTGTCAAATTACCCATGAGAGCCCACTACTATGCATCTATAATCTGTGAACCACTTTAAAGGTAAAGACCAGTATTGGAAACACCCCAATTTCAAAAATGAAATGGAAGCTCTCATTACCAATCATGTGAAAGAATATGTTTTGACTAATACATGATGATACAAAATTTGCAGCGAAACCGCCTACTAATTCATATATTTGGTAAATTTGTTTCTCTCATGGTTTGTGAGAGATATAGGGTAGTCCCATATACATCTTTCTGTGTATAGTGCTTGTAACTTTACGAAGAATGGGCCAAATTTCTTATCATTTTGATGATTCCAGAACCTTGCAGATGCTAGATGCTAGATGATCAACCTTTTCTGATCGATTCCACAACGTTTCTTTCACAATGCAATCGCTTGACCGTAACTGGTCTTTACCTTTAATAGATGTACAAGATGCAAGATAAAGCAAGATTATTATTTTCATAATGCAAATTCTATATCTAGAATTTTCTCAAATGGTATATAAACCCGGAATATTATTATCATAATACTAATTCTATATCTGAATACCACTTACATGTAGATACATTGTAGATGTACAAGGTGCTATATAAAACTAGAATATTATTGTTATTATTATTATCATATGCACAACACAACAAAGCTGTACTCACTGTGGCCATGCCCTCACTCCATTCTCCGTGGCCAGACTGCAATCTTTTGACCAACGCCATGTCAGATAGAATGGTCACTTCATCCCCTGTTGCATACGAATTCACCTGCATAAATATATTTCATTTATTTCATTCTCCATTAAAAAAAACATTAAAACATGCAAACATGATATACAGATAAAAGATCGATTACAGGAAAAATACAAAGGGAAGGAGCAAACAAAATTTTTATGGGAATGTGGGGTTAACAAAAAGGGCAATTAGCCTTATGAACGTCAACCCCTTAAAAAGTATACACTGTAGTGTTAAAAAAAGAAAAAAGGAAAAGAAAAGCAGAGAAAACCTGAACACTGATACTCAAGGAAACAAAAGAAGGGAAGGGGAGGGGGAATATATGAACAAAAGCACTGATTTAATATGATAGCAATAAGCCAGTTTGTTGATACAATCTGCGCATGTGGCAGATAAAGTTTATTTGTACTGAAATTGTCAAACCCACCTAGACGAAAACTGGATACGTGCTCATGAAAGTTATGTAATAATAGTTCATTCATTCACTTTCATTATATCCTGCATAATCAACATTTTCTAATGACTTTCAGATACTTTCTTTCAAAATTATTTATATGATCAGTACTAATCTTTAATTACCTCCAGAATTGACTAGCATCTGAACAATGATGCTTCTGCTATGGCTAGGATCTGGGCCTTGTTTCATAAAACTTTTTATAAGTTACAGAAATTGTCAAGGTCTCAGTGACACTTGTTATCGATAAAAGGTTTTATGAAACATGGCTCTGAACTTTCCCTAGGGCTCAACATTTTTACAATAGGGGTGATAGTGAGCACCATAAAAGAAAATAGTTTTTTTTTTCCTCAACCACCCCCCCCCCCCCCCCCCACCCTTCAGTAAAAATAATAATGAAGGATTCAGTTAAAAAATGGCATCTAACAACATTCACCCCTTTTTAAGTTAGAAAATTGGGGGAAAAATTGGGAAAAATAAGGAAAATAGGGGTAAAATCGGGAAGGAAAAAAAAAGGGAAAAAAAAAATCAAACAGGAAACCGTTTTAAATCGGGTAATTATCAAGCAATCCTATTGAAAGGAAACCAACCTTGCTCAGGGCAGCAGTATGGTATGTCCATCTTGTACCACAGCCCGGGTAGGTGACTCGGATATCTCCTCGGTCAGTCACACGATGCACAAGACCAATCTTCCCAACATACTGTATTTAAATAACAATAATATACAAATAATACACATCAGTGAGGGCACCGCTTCGGGCGTGTTAGACTGTTCCAAAGGTACCTGGTGTGGGTAATTTTGCTAATGCCCGAACAAAATGATGTGCATTATTTGTTTTATTCGTTGTATAAAATGATGTTTTATAACATGATTTGGATAATGACCGGATCCACGTCGTCGTCTTATAATAATGATATAACGCCTGGTTGGAATGCTCCCTAGGGAGTGGAGATTGTGCGCCGGCAAGTATTAAATCCAATGACCGGGGTAATAGCATATCTGTAAAGCGCTTAGAGACAGCATATAAAAGCGGAATATTATTATAATGTGTCAGAGTGATTTACAAATAGCTTGAGGTTGGAGACACAATTTTGTAAAAACACCTGACAAAAAAAAACCCCACATAGCGAAATTCAAGTATTTTTAAGAACATGAAATTTCCTTGATAACAGAAAATATGAATGGTTTGAATCAACATTTTATGCCTTTTAAAATAACTTTTACAAAATATTTTCATAGACACTAACGTTTCCATAATTGTTAAGTCCAACTTAAAATCTTTGTGAAACACCCCCCAGGAACCCGAATGAAGATTATCAATAATTAGTATTTTAAGCAGGCGCTGTGGCACTAGACGTTGTGACGTGCGCCTGTAATCCAGCTAACAATGGAAGTTACAAACTGATTCAGCCGAGGACGCAGGTTCGAAACTGAGTCACATCTTTCGGATGGTGACGTTAAAAGTCGGTCCCCAGACGTAAATAATCATATCCGATTGATACACGTCTGTAAAAACCCAATTACACACACACACACTCACCTCTGCCATTTTGGGGTTCCAGCCCCCATGGCCCTCCTGCATGGCCTTCAGGACATCTACAGTGAGAATGACCTTGACCTTGTCCCCAACGCAGTAGGTCACTGTCGGTCCATCGGTGGCTGCTCTCTGAGGGTTCTGCTCTCCTACTTCACCTGCGAAGAGACAGAGGGGTGAATTGATAACAGATTGTGTGTGAGAACTTAACATCATCATTTCCTGATCTTGATTTAAGTTTATCACTTGTTTCAAGATAATGTGCATTGTTAATCTAATCTGTCTTCTATGTGCACATATCAAACAATTTATTATCCACTGCCACTTCAACATTCTATAACATTTCAAACTAAATTCTAACTATCTGTACCTCACCAGTATCATCATCATAATCATCCTCACATCATCGTAATCTTCATCAGACATCATTATTAACATCATCAATAACATCATCATCATCATCTCCATCTACATCATCATCATCACTAATATCGTCATGATGACATCATCATACAAATTCTCCTCATCATACCAAGTTAATGGAGATGGTCCTTGTGGAAGTAGTCTCCCACTGTATCCTTAGTGCATTTAAGATCCTTTCTTATGACCCCCCCCCCCCCATTCATTATCATACTAAGTTTAACCCTATTCTAACTGGGCTATTTCGGACCAGGTTTTTACCAACGGGGGGACAATTTGACCCCCTCCCCTCTGTTTTAAAAGATGCGTAAGACTCGAAACAAAAAAGTCATGAAAGGTAAACTTTATATCTGCGGCGGTTCCGGAGTAGTCATTAATTATTACAGGGGGGGGGGCAAATTGACCCCCCCCCCCTGGGAACTTAAGATAGGGTTAAATAGGGAGATGGTCCTTGTAGTAGTAGCCTCCTACTGTCTGCAGTTAAGATTCTTCCTCCCCCCCCCCCTCCCCCCGAACCTTCTCTCTTCCATTCCATCTTTCTATCTTTCCTCCACTCTTATTATCCTCCTCATCATACCAAGTTTAGAAAGATGGTCCTTATGGAAGTAGCCTCCGACCGCATCCTTGGTGTATTTAAGATCTCTCCCCCCCCCCCCACCTGTCTTTTCTTTTGACCCCCCCCCCCCCCACTTCTCTCCCTTTCATTTCATTCTCCATCACTCCCCTTTTTTCATCATCATACAAAGTTTAGGGAGAGATGGTCCTTATGGTAGTAGCCTCCGACCGCATCCTTGGTGTATTTAAGATCTCCCCCCCCCCCCACCTGTCTTTTCTTTTGACCCCCCCCCCCCCCCCACTTCTCTCCCTTTCATTTCATTCTCCATCACTCCCCTTTTTTCATCATCATACAAAGTTTAGGGAGATGGTCCTTATGGTAGTAGCCTCCGACCGCATCCTTGGTGTATTTAAGATCTCTCCCCCCCCCACCTGTCTTTTCTTTTGACCCCCCCCCCCCACTTTTCTCCCTTTCATTTCATTCTCCATCACTCCCCTTTTTTCATCATCATACAAAGTTTAGGGAGATGGTCCTTATGGTAGTAGCCTCCGACCGAATCCTTGGTGTATTTAAGATCTCTCCCCCCCCACCACCTGCCTATTCTTTTGACCCCCCCCCCCCCCCCCTCTCTCTCTCTTCTCTCCCTTTCATTCCATTCTCCAGCACTCCCCCACTTTCATTGTCATACCAAGTTTAGGGAGATGGTCCTTGTAGTAGTAGCCTCCAACCGCATCCTTGGTGTATTTAAGATCCACCTTTCCCTTGTGGCCTATCCGATAGACGTTGGTCAGACTGGTCCCCCATGTCACGTTGGCGACACTACGTCCTGATTCCTGCTCCCAACCACGGATGTTGATAATGTTTCCCGCCTTTCCATCTCCACCTAGCAAAACAACAGCATCAAACATAAGATTTATTTTACCAAACTGCATTTCAAATGTAATCTCACAAGTATGTCTTTACAGTTGAAAGTTGTGTAAGTGATTAAAGATCATTAGATTTATTGAGGAATGTCATATCTTGTTTGTTAGACAATCATGGGTAGAGTACATGTATATTTGTTCTCTTAACCATGTAAATGCAGTTGTCCCCCCCCCCCCAAAAAAAAAAAAAATCATAATCGTTTTGGAAAGCTCTGAATACACATTTCACATCAATTAACCTCTATTTCTTAAAATATTAAAACAAAAACAGAATCCTAATCAAACACCAAAAAAAGAGATTATTTGTTACTTAAACAATCATAACAATTCAGAATATAATAACATTTGTTCTTATCATAAGGAACTTAAATAAAACATATACCATTAGTCATACTGATTGCAACCACTGGTCGACTTATCAAATTATTTTACCATGATGGATTAAGTTTATAAATAGCAGATAAAAACCCATACACTTGTGAACTGTGACCTTTGTCTGTGACCTTTGAACTCACCATCCTGGTCACCCCAGTCCCAGTCTGCCCCTCTGACTACCCGGGCCCCTGGAAGCAGACCCCTGACCTGGGTCTTTGCACAGTTCTGTCGCTTGGATACACGAGCACTACAGAAAAAAAATATAGATACAATATTATTGAATAATCATAAGTTTCTATCATTTCTCTTGAATAACAATCCATAATACATAGTATTTCATGATATTTTAAGGATTGTTGAGACGCATGTATGAAAACGCGATAAAATGTGACAAATTCTCCATCATGGCAGTCTTTCGTAAACTTTCGGGGACTATAATCCAATACTTTAGGATTCCATGAAATTTAAAATTTTGCTCCATGTTCACAAAACAAAAGCCCACTGAATTCAAAACTAGGCAATAAAAGTAGTATCAATTCCTTTTGGTTTAGTCTCTGCATCTCTTTCTCATTTGTCTGCCTTTCTCTCTCTCATTTGTATGCCTTTCTCTTTCTCATCTGTCTGCCTTTCTCTCTCTCATCTGTCTGCCTTTCTCTTTCTCATCTGTCTGCCTTTCTCTTTCTCATCTGTCTGCCTTTCTCTCTCTCATCTATCTGCCTTTCTCTCTCCCATCTGTCTGCCTTTCTCTTTCCCATCTGTCTGCCTTTCTCTCTCTCATTTGTATGCCTTTCTCTTTCTCATCTGTCTGCCTTTCTCTCTCTCATCTGTCTGCCTTTCTCTTTCTCATCTGTCTGCCTTTCTCTTTCTCATCTGTCTGCCTTTCTCTTTCTCATCTGTCTGCCTTTCTCTCTCTCATCTGTCTGCCTTTCTCTCTCTCATCTGTCTGCCTTTCTCTTTCTCATCTGTCTGCCTTTCTCTTTCTCATCTGTCTGCCTTTCTCTCTCTCATCTATCTGCCTTTCTCTCTCCCATCTGTCTGCCTTTCTCTTTCCCATCTGTCTGCCTTTCTCTCTCTCATTTGTATGCCTTTCTCTTTCTCATCTGTCTGCCTTTCTCTCTCTCATCTGTCTGCCTTTCTCTTTCTCATCTGTCTGCCTTTCTCTTTCTCATCTGTCTGCCTTTCTCTCTCTCATCTATCTGCCTTTCTCTCTCCCATCTGTCTGCCTTTCTCTCTCTCATCTGTCTGCCTTTCTCTTTCTCATCTGTCTGCCTTTCTCTCTCCCATCTGTCTGCCTTTCTCTTTCTCATCTGTCTGCCTTTCTCTCTCTCATCTATCTGCCTTTCTCTCTCCAATCTGTCTGCCTTTCTCTCTCTCATCTATCTGCCTTTCTCTTTCTCATCTATCTGCCTTTCTCTTTCTCATCTGTCTGCCTTTCTCTCTCTCATCTGTCTGCCTTTCTCTTTCTCATCTGTCTGCCTTTCTCTTTCTCATCTATCTGCCTTTCTCTCTCTCATCTATCTGCCTTTCTCTCTCCAATCTGTCTGCCTTTCTCTCTCTCATCTATCTGCCTTTCTCTTTCTCATCTATCTGCCTTTCTCTCTCTCATCTGTCTGCCTTTCTCTCTCTCATCTATCTGCCTTTCTCTTTCTCATCTGTCTGCCTTTCTCTTTCTCATCTATCTGCCTTTCTCTCTCTCATCTATCTGCCTTTCTCTCTCCAATCTGTCTGCCTTTCTCTCTCTCATCTATCTGCCTTTCTCTTTCTCATCTATCTGCCTTTCTCTTTCTCATTTGTATGCCTTTCTCTCTCTTCTGTCTGCCTTTCTCTTTCTCATCTATCTGCCTTTCTCTTTCTCATCTGTCTGCCTTTCTCTCTCTCATCTGTCTACCTTTCTCTTTCTCATTTGTATGCCTTTCTCTTTCTCATCTGTCTGCCTTTCTCTCTCTCATTTGTATGCCTTTCTCTTTCTCATCTGTCTGCCTTTCTCTCTCTCATCTGTCTGCCTTTCTCTTTCTCATCTGTCTGCCTTTCTCTTTCTCATCTGTCTGCCTTTCTCTTTCTCATCTGTCTGCCTTTCTCTCTCTCATCTGTCTGCCTTTCTCTCTCTCATCTGTCTGCCTTTCTCTTTCTCATCTGTCTGCCTTTCTCTTTCTCATCTGTCTGCCTTTCTCTCTCTCATCTATCTGCCTTTCTCTCTCCCATCTGTCTGCCTTTCTCTTTCCCATCTGTCTGCCTTTCTCTCTCTCATTTGTATGCCTTTCTCTTTCTCATCTGTCTGCCTTTCTCTCTCTCATCTGTCTGCCTTTCTCTTTCTCATCTGTCTGCCTTTCTCTTTCTCATCTGTCTGCCTTTCTCTCTCTCATCTATCTGCCTTTCTCTCTCCCATCTGTCTGCCTTTCTCTTTCCCATCTGTCTGCCTTTCTCTCTCTCATTTGTATGCCTTTCTCTTTCTCATCTGTCTGCCTTTCTCTCTCTCATCTGTCTGCCTTTCTCTTTCTCATCTGTCTGCCTTTCTCTTTCTCATCTGTCTGCCTTTCTCTTTCTCATCTGTCTGCCTTTCTCTCTCTCATCTGTCTGCCTTTCTCTCTCTCATCTGTCTGCCTTTCTCTTTCTCATCTGTCTGCCTTTCTCTTTCTCATCTGTCTGCCTTTCTCTCTCTCATCTATCTGCCTTTCTCTCTCCCATCTGTCTGCCTTTCTCTTTCCCATCTGTCTGCCTTTCTCTCTCTCATTTGTATGCCTTTCTCTTTCTCATCTGTCTGCCTTTCTCTCTCTCATCTGTCTGCCTTTCTCTTTCTCATCTGTCTGCCTTTCTCTTTCTCATCTGTCTGCCTTTCTCTCTCTCATCTATCTGCCTTTCTCTCTCCCATCTGTCTGCCTTTCTCTCTCTCATCTGTCTGCCTTTCTCTTTCTCATCTGTCTGCCTTTCTCTCTCTCATCTGTCTGCCTTTCTCTCTCTCATCTGTCTGCCTTTCTCTTTCTCATCTGTCTGCCTTTCTCTTTCTCATCTGTCTGCCTTTCTCTCTCTCATCTATCTGCCTTTCTCTCTCCCATCTGTCTGCCTTTCTCTTTCCCATCTGTCTGCCTTTCTCTCTCTCATTTGTATGCCTTTCTCTTTCTCATCTGTCTGCCTTTCTCTCTCTCATCTGTCTGCCTTTCTCTTTCTCATCTGTCTGCCTTTCTCTTTCTCATCTGTCTGCCTTTCTCTCTCTCATCTATCTGCCTTTCTCTCTCCCATCTGTCTGCCTTTCTCTTTCCCATCTGTCTGCCTTTCTCTCTCTCATTTGTATGCCTTTCTCTTTCTCATCTGTCTGCCTTTCTCTCTCTCATCTGTCTGCCTTTCTCTTTCTCATCTGTCTGCCTTTCTCTTTCTCATCTGTCTGCCTTTCTCTTTCTCATCTGTCTGCCTTTCTCTCTCTCATCTGTCTGCCTTTCTCTCTCTCATCTGTCTGCCTTTCTCTTTCTCATCTGTCTGCCTTTCTCTTTCTCATCTGTCTGCCTTTCTCTCTCTCATCTATCTGCCTTTCTCTCTCCCATCTGTCTGCCTTTCTCTTTCCCATCTGTCTGCCTTTCTCTCTCTCATTTGTATGCCTTTCTCTTTCTCATCTGTCTGCCTTTCTCTCTCTCATCTGTCTGCCTTTCTCTTTCTCATCTGTCTGCCTTTCTCTTTCTCATCTGTCTGCCTTTCTCTCTCTCATCTATCTGCCTTTCTCTCTCCCATCTGTCTGCCTTTCTCTCTCTCATCTGTCTGCCTTTCTCTTTCTCATCTGTCTGCCTTTCTCTCTCCCATCTGTCTGCCTTTCTCTTTCTCATCTGTCTGCCTTTCTCTCTCTCATCTATCTGCCTTTCTCTCTCCAATCTGTCTGCCTTTCTCTCTCTCATCTATCTGCCTTTCTCTTTCTCATCTATCTGCCTTTCTCTTTCTCATCTGTCTGCCTTTCTCTCTCTCATCTGTCTGCCTTTCTCTTTCTCATCTGTCTGCCTTTCTCTTTCTCATCTATCTGCCTTTCTCTCTCTCATCTATCTGCCTTTCTCTCTCCAATCTGTCTGCCTTTCTCTCTCTCATCTATCTGCCTTTCTCTTTCTCATCTATCTGCCTTTCTCTCTCTCATCTGTCTGCCTTTCTCTCTCTCATCTATCTGCCTTTCTCTTTCTCATCTGTCTGCCTTTCTCTTTCTCATCTATCTGCCTTTCTCTCTCTCATCTATCTGCCTTTCTCTCTCCAATCTGTCTGCCTTTCTCTCTCTCATCTATCTGCCTTTCTCTTTCTCATCTATCTGCCTTTCTCTTTCTCATTTGTATGCCTTTCTCTCTCTTCTGTCTGCCTTTCTCTTTCTCATCTATCTGCCTTTCTCTTTCTCATCTGTCTGCCTTTCTCTCTCTCATCTGTCTACCTTTCTCTTTCTCATTTGTATGCCTTTCTCTTTCTCATCTGTCTGCCTTTCTCTCTCTCATCTGTCTGCCTTTCTCTTTCTCATCTGTCTGCCTTTCTCTTTCTCATCTGTCTGCCTTTCTCTCTCTCATCTGTCTGCCTTTATCTTCCTCATCTATCTGCCTTTCTCTCTCTCATCTATCTGCCTTTCTCTTTCTCATCTATCTGCCTTTCTCTTTCTCATCTGTCTGCCTTTCTCTCTCTCATCTGTCTGCCTTTCTCTTTCTCATCTGTCTGCCTTTCTCTTTCTCATCTATCTGCCTTTCTCTCTCTCATCTATCTGCCTTTCTCTCTCCAATCTGTCTGCCTTTCTCTCTCTCATCTATCTGCCTTTCTCTTTCTCATCTATCTGCCTTTCTCTCTCTCATCTGTCTGCCTTTCTCTCTCTCATCTATCTGCCTTTCTCTTTCTCATCTGTCTGCCTTTCTCTTTCTCATCTATCTGCCTTTCTCTCTCTCATCTATCTGCCTTTCTCTCTCCAATCTGTCTGCCTTTCTCTCTCTCATCTATCTGCCTTTCTCTTTCTCATCTATCTGCCTTTCTCTTTCTCATTTGTATGCCTTTCTCTCTCTTCTGTCTGCCTTTCTCTTTCTCATCTATCTGCCTTTCTCTTTCTCATCTGTCTGCCTTTCTCTCTCTCATCTGTCTACCTTTCTCTTTCTCATTTGTATGCCTTTCTCTTTCTCATCTGTCTGCCTTTCTCTCTCTCATCTGTCTGCCTTTCTCTTTCTCATCTGTCTGCCTTTCTCTTTCTCATCTGTCTGCCTTTCTCTCTCTCATCTGTCTTCCTTTATCTTCCTCATCTATCTGCCTTTCTCTCTCCCATCTGTCTGCCTTTCTCTTTCTCATCTATCTGTCTTTATCTTTCTCATCTATCTGCCTCTCTTTTTCTCATCTGTCTGCCTTTATCTTTCTCATCTGTCTGCCTTTCTCTCTCTCATTTGTATGCCTTTCTCTTTCTCATCTGTCTGCCTTTCTCTCTCTCATCTGCCTGCCTTTCTCTTTCTCATCTGTCTGCCTTTCTCTTTCTCATTTGTATGCCTTTATCTTCCTCATCTATCTGCCTTTATCTTCCTCATCTATCTGCCTTTCTCTCTCTCATCTGTCTGCCTTTATCTTTCTCATCTGTCTGCCTTTCTCTCTCTCATTTGTATGCCTTTCTCTTTCTCATCTGTCTGCCTTTCTCTTTCTCATCTGTCTGCCTTTCTCTTTCTCATTTGTATGCCTTTCTCTCTCTCATCTGTCTGCCTTTCTCTTTCTCATCTGTCTGCCTTTATCTTCCTCATCTATCTGCCTTTCTCTCTCTCATCTGTCTGCCTTTCTCTTTCTCATCTATCTGTCTTTATCTTTCTCATCTGTCTGCCTTTCTCTTTCTCATCTATCTGCCTTTCTTTTTCTCATCTGTCTGCCTCTCTCTTTCCATCTCTTCTCACTTTCTCCTCCATGATTTTGCCTCTGTTTCATAAAACTTGTTTTCAATAACAAATGCTAAAATTCTATAGCAAATTTGCTTTCAGCCAATCAAATACCATCAATTCAGGAGCTTATAACTGTTATTTCAACTTGTTACTGATGACAAGTTGCATGAAACAGGGCCCAGGTGGTTCAAGTATCAAGTCTTGGGGGATGATAGAATTCACCAGTGCGACAGTGAACAAGCTGAAGGGATATGGTCAGCAGTTTCCATGTGTAGTATGTCAGCATTCGCTGGTCTTGGGGAAATACCATTAATGGGTGTACAAGTCTCGCACACAGCAAATTGGACTCAGAGTCTTAGGGTGAGGGAAAATTGATGACGATAATGACGATTCCTTATGGGCCAATTGATGGAAAGTGTAGAGCCTTACATAGGACCAGGGACCCGTTTCACAAAGCCTTTTTTTCAATGACAAATGAAAAAAATCAGTGACAAATCTGTTGATAACCAATCAGAAGCAAGGATTTCAGTAGCTTATAACAAAAACTGTCATTTGTCACTGAGGACAAGTTGTGAAACGCCCCCCTGTTGGTTGTAAAAGTGAAGGCTGCTCATGGTGACATTTTGTTATCAGACCTGTGGATACCTGATTGGTGTAAAATTCCCCATTAAAACTCATGTTTATGTGTCTTTAAAGATAAAGTTGAGTTCTGGATATGCGATTGCATTGTGAGACAAACGATGTGGAATCGATCAGAAAAGGTTGATCATCTAGCATATGAGTTTTGGTGTGTACTGCAAGTCGTCAAACTGATAAGATATTTGGCCCAGTATTGGTAAAGTAATAAGCACTGTACACAGAAAGATGTATATGGGACTACACAAACATGTGGCATAAAAATCCATCCTGATTTTCAAGCTGTTACATGCCATATTTAGAATATTAAGGCATTTGAAGATCCATGCTTTTCAGGGAACATTTTTAATCTGATGTTCTTCCACACTTGCATAGTACAATGATAATGCTCACAAAATATTTTTCACCTCTTCCCAGAACTCAACCTTCCCTTTAAAACTCATATTCATGTGTCTTTAAAACATAGCTCACTAAAGCTCATACATACCCTGCAGAGCTCTGGGTGACTAGCCTGACAAATTCATGATTGTGATCATGCTTTCCAGCGAAGTAGCAGGCTGAGCAGAGATCGTAGTCTTCACAGGAGATACACTTCCATCTCATGCCCTGAATGCCCTCTTGCTTACAACCGTTACAAGTAATGTTCTGGTGCTTTATTCCTGCAAAATAAATAACAAACGATAAATAACAATATTTTTTCGTACTTTAACTTATTCTTAAATGTTTAAATCTACCGTTTTTAATGCAATTATATATGATACAATGTGAGCCAATTATTGTTAGTCTTTGGACTTTTTGTTTGGTATATTTTTAATAAAACCAAAATTGAATTGAATTGAAAATATACCATGCACTGAAAGGCTCCAGATGAAATTATGGAATATCTGAGGTTACTGGCATAGCACAATTCAGAACATTCACTAGATGGCAGTCACGTGAGATCCATAATTTTACCGGTGCCGCAAAGAGAGTGCATGATATTGGATTTATATCCGTCATCAAACAATGGAAAACTAGATGGAATTTTGACTGCGCGCAGTCGAAAATGATGCCTCCGCCATAGAGCAATTTAAACAAGTTTCATAAGTTGACCTCTGTGACCCTTGACCTTTGACCTACGTGCTCCAAAATCTAATCAGATTGTCTTCCTATGGTGATACATACTATCATTAAGTTTGAAGTTTTTACATCTCCAGTGGTTCTTGAGATATCATGATAACAATCTCAATGTATGGAATTTCATAAGTTGACCTCTATGACCCTTGACCTTTGACCTACGTGCTCCAAAATCTAATCAGATTGTTTTCCTATAGTGATACACACTATCACTAAGTTTGAAGTTTAAATCTCCAGTGGTTCTTGAGATATCATGATAACAATCTCAATGTATGGAATTTCATAAGTTGACCTCTGTGACCCTTGACCTTTGACCTACGTGCTCCAAAATCTAATCAGATCGTCTTCCTAAGGTGATACATACTATCTTTAAGTTTGAAGTTTTTACATCTCCAGTGGTTCTTGAGATATCATGATAACAATCTCAATGTATGGAATTTCATAAGTTGACCTCTATGACCCTTGACCTTTGACCTACGTGCTCCAAAATGTAATCAGATTGTTTTCCTATAGTGATACACACTATCACTAAGTTTTAAGTTTAAATCTCCAGTGGTTCTTGAGATATCATGATAACAATCTCAATGTATGGAATTTCATAAGTTGACCTCTGTGACCCTTGACCTTTGACATACGTGCTCCAAAATCTAATCAGATCGTCTTCCTATGGTGATACATACTATCCTTAAGTTTGAAGTTTAAATCTCAAATGGTTCTTGAGATATCGCGCTAACAAACTCAATACAAGGAATTTCATAAGTTGACCTCTGTGACCTGTGACCTTTGACCTATGTACTCCAAAATCTAATCAGATCGTCTTCCTATGGTGATAAATACTATTCCCGAGTCTTAAGTTTAAATCTTAAATGGTTCTTGAGATATTGTGATAACGGTCAAACGGGACGGACGTACGGACGGACAACCCGAAAACATGATGCCTCCGGCACCACCTTCGGTGGCGGAGGCATAATAAAAATCTAACTATAAAGAAATCCACCTGAACATGAACTTCAACTATTATTATTATTATTATTATCATTATTATTATAGGCATTTAGCTACGCTATTCATAGTACACTATATCACAGCGCTTACAATAATTAAGTAATATTGACTGCCTTCTGGGCAATACGACATATATCGCCCGAACCGAAGGTGAGGGTGATATATGACAAGTCGTATTGCCCTGAATTAGGCAGTCAATATTACTATTATTAACCAAATCAGACATCTAGAGCAAACAAGAAACTCTTACTATCTTATACTCTTAAATTATGTAGGCTACACAGGGTTTCCTAGCATTAGAAGTTGCAAAAACATTGTCAAACCAGCACTGTTCATCCAGTGTTTGACAGATTTTCAATACACTGCAAACAGTTTGCCTAGGGTGTGATTGTTACGTCATAATAGACTATGTGCAAAGTGCGCATTTTCTTATGAACGATGCGCGATGTAAATTACAACTGGCTCTATATTATTGCTCACTAGTTTTAAAACACGCATTTTGCCATAGACTTTTAAGAGCGGGCTAAAATATTTGTTTATTGGTTTACTGTATAACCATATTGACCGGCAAATTACACACAAATCCCACTGACTTTTCTGAGCGGGCTAAAATATTTGTTCATTGGTTTACTGTATAACCATATTGACCGGCAAATTACACACAAAATCCCATTGACTTTTCTGAGCGGTCAATCATATTGTAGTTTTGTTGGCTTATCCATCAAACCTTGAGGGCAATAACATTTAAAAATTGCCCTGCTCAGATGTCTGATACGGTTAATAATATGCAATATTGTCCGAAATACACACACCTTTCCTAGAAAAGAGCGCTATGCTACCCGCGCCACATCCCAGTAACAATATTGTGATAGGCCTATCAACAGCTTCAAGATGTGACGTCAAACAGGGTACATGTACATCTATATCCAGGGTATACCCCATTTGTCATCACACAATATCCATCTTTTCTTCATGGTGTAAGTATTTCATGTCCGTGCTGGTTAATTCTTGCACAGGAATGTTTCAATGTGGGATATGATAAACAATTATAGTAATAATAATAATAACAACGATAATAATAACGATAATAATAAATAATGATAATATTAACAATAATATACAATAATAACATCAATAAAAAACAAGAATAAGAATAAGATTATAATAATAAAAATAATAATAATAATAACAGCTACAACATCAACAAAAGTAGGTTCAATGCAAGAAATCTGATAGCAAAATAGCAAATGTGACAGCTTTATTTTGCTGTTAACACACAACCCCTATGTCACAATTTGTTGTCTGTGTGTGAATGGTCCCCAATAAAAGGGTGATTTTTAATACCTGCAGGAGCATTATCAAAGAGGAGGAGATCATATGCTCCTTGATAGCCGACTCTGTAGTTGGTCCTGGTCCCGCAGTCCCACTGGACTACGACTGTTTTGTCCGGCGAAGTGCTGCTTCCCTGGCGACCGATCTCTACGATTGTCCCAAGATGACCGTCCCCGTCATCCTGGTTGCCCCACTTCCACTCGGGGCCTCGGACGACTCTAACTCCAACATTCACGGCCATTGGCTATAATTAAAAGAGGGAAGAAGCAGGGGTGAGATATGGACCAAGTTTTTAATGATGAAGGTGAGTTCTGGTCATGCGATTGCATTGTGAATGAAACGGTGTGGAATCGATTAGAAAAGGTTGATCATCTAGCATATAAGTATTTGTGTGTATTACAAGGTTCTGGAATCATCAAAATGATAAGAAATTTGGCCAGGTCTTGGTAAAGTTAAAAGCACTGTACACAGTAGGATGTATATGAGACTACACGAACACATGGCGTAAAAGTCTGTCTCAATTTTTACGATGTTACATGCCATATTTAGAATATGAAGGCATTTGAAGAGTCATGCTTTTCAGGGATGGTGTTTGATCTAATGTTCTTCCACCCTTGCATATAACAATGATAACGCTCACAAGTTATTTTTCACCTCTTCCCAGGACTCAACTTTCTCTTTAATGACCAAATCCTTTTAAAAGTTTGTAGGGTCTAGATAGATTCAGCGCTTGTGGTGACCAATAAATGCATGTTGGTGTGACCATAGTTGGCACGTGACCTTAGTTTGCTACCTCAAAATATTCAGTAACAAGTAACATTTCAAAAATATGATACCACCAATGGAAAGAGGAACCTAAATTACCAAGAGACAACATTTATTATGGATTTGGGTGTAAAATTATGAAAATATTGACAAAAGATCAGTAAATTTTGCAGTCTTTTGCATATGAAATTACAGACAAAGGTCTGAAAATCTTTATTTTGAGTAAATTTGAGAGCAGATGTCATCAGAATTGTAAGTAAAAAATGGTACCAACTGATTATATATTTTGCCTGCATTGCAAACTATGCAATTATCTTCAAATATATTTGATGTACTGCTTTTTTAAATAAATAAACTGTAAACTCCTGTGTGCAAATTAAGCTCTTGTTCTTTTAAAGACTTTTTCATCAGTGTAGCACATACTGATCCATCATCAAATTTTGAGATCACGATATCTCCAGCCTTTTTTACAATATATGTTCCTATTTGCAACAATTTGTAGGTAGACCCTAGTCATAACTTTGCAGTCCATTATTAGGTAATAATTTAACTAAATAAATTTGTGTAGAATATGAGAAAACATGGATCAAATATCACATTTCCTAATATTTAAACAAATCTCTGCAAACTTTGGTCACCCCATCATACATAATGATTTTGATGCACCAATACGACTGACAATTGACATGAACATTTTTTTCTTGTCCTTTTGACTTTTTGTGGGCTAAATCTCCAATATATGGAAGATATCTCAAGGAACAGAGAGTCTCCCAATTCAGCTGTGAGCCCCTACTATTGGTTATTTGAATTCAATGATTTCTTTTTGTAAATGGAGTTAGACTGTTTACATGTTGGCCTCAGTAATTAAAAGCCGATTTTGGTGAATTGTTGTGATTTTGTGAAGTGGTGTTTGACATTGTGGTCGTTTTGACTTAGTAATAGGGTGTCTGAACGATTTTTCAATTTTCAATTTGGGATCGTTTTTCACCATTTTTGTTTGATATTTGAATTTAAAATGTAATCAGAATAATACATTTCAAATTTCAAGTCTCGCCGATGTTTCTATCAAAAGATACAGCCCCTTCAAAACGCTGAAATATTCATAGCATTTTGCTCAGAATCGACGAAAAAGACGTACACGCAGAGTTAGTTGTTTTGCTAAATTTAGCCAAACAGCTGTATCGCGCGATATGCAAGCGTATGCATATCGTACGCAAGTTGCTCAGCCAATGCGCGACTTGCAAGCTTGAGCTACGCTGTCTCCGCGACACGTGCCATTGACTAGTATGGTTAGCGTTCGTCGCACAAAAAACCCGGAAGTGAATGCACGTTATAGTCAATGGCAATATCGCGGAGATGTCTCCGCGATATTGCCATTGACTATAACGTGTATTCACTTCCGGGGTTTATGGTGGAAACGGCCATCCATACTTTCATTCACTATAAGCGCACATGTTACGCGATGTAACCATGGTTTGGACTGAGCGGAGCTCACGCCTCCCTAATTAGCTGATTCCAAAAATGTGGGAAGGGTATTTTCAAACTGTTATAACAAATGATCCCTTGGGGCTAGCGAAAAAAAAGCATCTGGATATTATCCTTACGTCTAGCCCTGCTTAAGCCGCGGGGGCGCAGCTCAGGAAAGTGGCAAATTTTGGAGCTAGGATGCAAACAACATTTCAATCGCTGTTTTGACCAAGATATTTTTAGAATTCTGGGGGTGGCCCCCTATGGGGAATATGGAGAAAAACCTGCTCTTTCATATGACACCTCATTTATTGAGTTTCACCTTCAGGATCATTTGTTATAAAGGTTTGAATTTCAAATTTTTTCATAAAATCATTGACCAATTTTGGATGGTCGCGCAATGCACGTAGACCACATAGGGAAGCGTACAATCTCTATGGGAAGGGTTTTAGCACACAACATTGGGTGCGCGATCAGACACCCTATTAGTAAACACAAACTGATGCAGTAATAGTATCTGATGAGCATTTTTCAATTCACTTGTCCACTAGACCAAAAATTACCAAAGACAAAGCCAAGTCTCGAATCAAGACTTTAAGTCAAGCGTTTCTGACTTCAATTTCTGGTTTCAATCAGTTCTTTTCCAAACTTTTCTTACTATTATATATTCTAGATCTAGAGTCTATTTTGGACAAATTCTAACAAAGTTAATTCTACAACAAAACAAAACAAACAAAAATTGAACAGCATTCCTCTCGATTGTGTCACTAAGTCTTGAAAGATCGAAACCGTGTTATCTTGTGTTTGCATAATGAATGAATCATCAACATCGCCTCGGCATTGTTGATTTTTGTTGATTTTTCAACGGCCGTCCACCCCTTCGAAACGCAATATCGAACGTGTGGGACTATAAAGTATAACCTACATGTACATGCAATGTCTGTGAATACAAAACGGCCATTCAACGAAAATCGAACACATTCCATAGTTAAATACTTACGGCATTGTTATCATTAAAACGAACATGATTTGCACATATTTACCTAGAACTACAAAATTCAACTAGAAGACAAAATACAATGGCAACGGTACATATGGTGACTTACAAACAGATTTCTCGGGTCATGTTTTGATTTTCTTCCGCCTCTCTGAAAAATGTACGTTGCGTGTATTCGGTTATTTGTGGATATCCGGGTTTCGATAACCGGGCGCGGGCACCAATTTTTAATCTGATATGGGCATCAAAGAGATAATTAATGTAAAGAGGTTATATTTATATGGATTATGGGATTTAGGATTTAATCTCCCGAATATTAATCCTACGGTCCCGACTAAGGTAAACAATTCCGATTTTCTTTCATACATATTTTTTGTTTTTGTTTGGGAATGCCGTTACATAATTCTTCCCCGGTGGGGTCACTCAATGTGACTTCCGGACCGCATGACCGTTACCAAAATCGCGGAAAAAGGGGTCAATTTCAAGCAATGTCCGCGGACAAAATATTCCTCGAAATAAAGAAAATAGGGGTGCACAGGTGTCCTCGAAATTGATAAATAGGGGTCAGGAAAAGGGAAAAGAGAAAACCGGGAAGGGAAAAGAGAAAACCAGGAAGAAAAATTCTCGGAGCCGAGTCTTGTCCTTGAAATATGGTAAAATAGGGGTAAATTTGCGAAAGTGTCCTTACAATCTTATAAATAGGGGTATTCCAAAGTACGATTTTGTCCTTGTTTTGACGTAAAAAAGGGGGTTAAATTTCACAAAATGTCCTTGAAATTGACCGCAAAAGGGGGTTATATGCATTTGTGGTAACGGTCATGCGGTCCGGAAGTCACATTGAGTGACCCCACCGGGAATTCTTCACTTAGTTTTCAGCTCCCGGAACAAAATTATCTTCTAACTTCTCTTTGATCATTGCGAATGAAGAAAAATTCTCTATTTCGGCTACTTTTCTTCCTTCAGAGTTCTTCAGGGGGGTGGAGAACTTGGGGAGCTGTAACCCCCAACACAAACAAATGAACAAACACTAAAGAAATTGGAGCCGAGAAATTGTATTTCAATTTCGCAACTTTGCAATGTGTCAATCCTGATTCTGGGAAATTCCCCCGCCACCCCCCCCCCCCGGCCCCCCACTCAGTGTTATTAAGGTACGCATACTGTTCCCTCTTTTTGAAAGCAACCCCTAACTGAGGACTGCCAACATTTCCGAAACCCCCTTTCGCGGGCTTTTCGCGGGCTTTTCGCGGGCTTTTCCTGCCTTGGAGAACCCCCTAAATCCGAAAAAATGCTCAATGTACCCCCCTAAATTTGGAATAATTTCTCAGGATTCCAAAGAAATGAGGGAAAGAAAAAAATCACCCCCTTTTTAAAGAAATCTCCGGGTGAAAAGTCAAATACACCCCCTTTTTTTTTTTTACAATTCTCAGGCCGGACTTTGTCGCACCCCTTTACCAGACATTTTGGTAACATGCATGCGGTCATTCCGACCCCGGAGGGGGGGGGGGGGGGGGGGAGGACATTTCTAGGGATGATTTCTGTCGCAATACGATGCGGCCACACAAATGTAAAACAGAAGCGGAACGGCTTTCCATTGAAGTATCCCACCCCCCCCCCCACTCACACATACTCGCGCCTATTGTTTCCATTGTGTCTAAAATGCTAACACGATGTTATTATTTAAAAACATATTTTAAAAAAAACGGCAGTCTCATAATAAATTGCTTAAAATTGATTACAAGCAGAAAAAAAATAGATAAATAAATCCTAGAAGCCTTGAGAATAGCTTTTTTTAAAAGAGTTGTCTATGAAATAAAGGACAAATTGGCAACTTGGAAACAAGTTTCATTGGTAGAGTAATAATTAAAAACCTCAATCATCAATACTGATTTATATTTATTTGTAATCCTCTGAAATCCATCAGAAAGAAAGGGTAAAAAGTGATTTTTTTTTCAGATCAATTTCTCATGGTCGAGGTTTCTTTATCGGGCAGTGATCATCAAAAGGGATGTTGGAATTCATTTCTAGGAGCAGGGATGTCGCTAGACCTTTTTCAGTGGGCGGCGGGGGGGGGGGGGGGTGTGTGGAGGCCACCGATTAATTACCGACAAAACTAGCCACCAATTACCGACAGATATATTAATGCCAATGTCCCAATGTCTGAGAGAAAAAAAAGACAAAAACACCCCCTTTTTAAAGAAATCTCCGGGTGAAAAGTCAAATACAGCCTTTTTTTTTTTTTACAATTCTCGGGCCGGACTTTGTCGCACGAAAAGTACCCCTTTACCGGACATTTTGGTAACACGCATGCGGTCATTCCGACCACAGAGTGGGGGGGGGGGGGGGGGTGGGCGGGGGGCGGGGGGGGGGGGGCGGGAGCGGACCCGACACATCAACATAATTATGCGTATCTTTCTTGCCTCCTCGACGTGGCGACTCCACCCAACATCCCCCTCTTCTCTCAAGCGCTTACCGCCCCCCTCTCTCTCTCCCTTCTCTTTCATCCGCCGTTTCTTTTGTTTCCGTTTTCTTTTCTTTCTTTTTTCTTTTCTCTTTTTCTTTCTTTTCTTTCTTTCCTCTCCTTCCTCTTTTTCTTTTTTCTCTTTCTTTTTTCTCTTCTCTTTCCTTTCTTTTCCTTTTCTTTTTTCTTTTCTTTCCCTCTCATTCCCCCCTTCCTCATTTTTCCCGACAGCAGAGCAATTTTACCGCCAATAGTGACAGGTGGGGGCAGGCGCGGATCCAGGATTTCTTAGGGGGGGGGGGGGGGGGGGGGGGGCCCAAATTTGAAATTATGCGAGCCAAATATTGGTACATAATGGTGACCAGCAGTGATGTAATTAGGGGGGTGGGTGCAGGGAGGGGCGTGTTTTCACCCACCCTCCTCCGCGAAGTGCGGAAGCTTTGACATTTCAATAAATTATTAGAGAAAGAAGACGATTCGTTTTTACCGTTCCCAAAAATAATCCTCGTCTGAATTATGTTCCCTCCCCCCCCCCCTCGCGCGGAAGCTTTAACGTTTCATTCAATCATTAGAGAAAGAAGACAATTCGTTGAGTCGTGTTATCGACTCTTAATCTTCGTCTAAATTCAGTTCCCCCCCCCCCCCCCCCTCCCGCGCGAAGCGCGAAAGATTTTTTAGAGAAAGAATACCAATCGTTGTAACGTTCTCGACTCTTAATCCTTGTCTGAATATCAAAAATGTTCTTTGTCTACACCCTTTTCTTCATACGTCCTCTTCCTTTTCACTCCTCTGTTTTTTTGGCCGGCGGTTTTTGGGGGACCATACTGCCCCCCTGGCTACGCGCCTGCGGTCAGATGAATATATTATGTTGATACCTTGTTCGCCCCCGGAAGGTCAGGGTTTAAGGCAATAATTTACGGTCAGATTAGCACTCAGGGGTCCGCCTTAGGGCCCTAGGCGGGGTCCAGAGGGCAGAGCCCCGGAAGTTCAGGGGTTTTAGGCATTTAATTACGGTAAGATGAGCATTATTTTGATACCTAATTGTGACACTGGCAGGTCCCTAATTGGCGTGGGGTTCAGGGGTCGGAGCCCTTGGAAGCCCAAGGGTTTTAGGCACTCAATAATTACTCTACCTCATCGTATGGGAAATGTTGTTTCCACAGAGTTTTTGGATAATCTAATTACAAAAATAATGATAGCATTCAAGAGAGTGCGTTTCTATCTACTGTGGGTGTTTTTAAAGTTTTTAATTTAGGCACAGGCTTTGGAGTTATAGTTTAATGGATTTTGTCTGACATTTTCTTGGGTTATGTAAAATGGATTTCAAGTTTAAAGATAACAGTCACGTTTGTATAGAGCTTCTATGTGTCTAAACGCCTTATATTACCCCGGTCATTGGATTCCATTGCTAACAAAAAGTCGCGTATAGGCCCCCAGATAGCAAAATGTTGTGGGGCCCATCTGGGTTTTATCTGGTTACAACTTGGCCCAGATGGGCCAGCCCATCTATTGCCCACTTGGCCCATTTAGCCCATTTGGGTCCCAGATGGGCCCCATGTGGGGCCCAGCAATCTGCACCCGGGTTATAGAAGGGCCCCAGATGGGCGGCCCAGATTGGACCCACTTGGCCCAGATGGGCCCACGTAGAACCCAGATGGGCCCCACAATTGGCCCATCAATATACACAAGGGTTACCTATTGGGCACCAGATGGGCCATGTGGGTTATATGTGGGACCTACCACATTCTATATTATGGGTCAAGTGGGTTCTATATGGGCCCCATATGGGCTATAAGCGGGTTTTTATATGGGATCCATATGGGCCAAGTGGGTTTGATATGGTCCCGTATGAGCCAATGTGGTTCTAAATGGGCTTTATTGTTTAAATGGGTTCTATTTTTACCCAGTTGCTGAATTCATTTATCCCATTTCTATTTCCAGGGTTACCAGTTGGGTTTAACTGGACCAGTCGTACCATTTGGCACAACTTTCAACCAGTTGTTAGCTCCAATTAGCAGACTTAATTAGTAATTTATGTAGCACTTGTACTAATTAATTTTGCCATTGGCAACAACACATCGTCTAAAAATTCCAATGTAAAGACATTGGTATTAAGAAGACTTGGTTATTTTGCAGTGATGAGACATTTCCATATACTTGTATTTTATTGAATCTGTTTTAGGTCATAGTTAGTGTTTTTCCTAATTCATGTTTAATTAAATGTAATGTATACAAAGTAGTGAAATGTCCTAATAATTAGCAATTTACATTTAATAGTATTTTCGAAATGAATTGCTTATAACTAAATCATCAGCAATTAGGAAATATCCTGTAAATTCAGATAAATTGTAAAAAACATAGATATGCACGCACCCCATATTCGTTATGCAAATTCTGGGTATATTTTGTGGGTTTTGGGTGGGAAGGCCCATCTGGTATACATCTGGTTTTCAGCTGGGCGAAGACAATGTTCGACGTGCAATTTTCACCACCAAAAACCCACATGGGGCCCACATGGGGCACATATGTGTTGGTACTTGTGGGTTCTTGGTGGGAAGGCCCATCTGGTATACACCTGGTTTTTAGCTGGGCCCAGCCGATGTTCGACGTGCGATTTTCACCACCAAAAACCCACATGGGGCCCACATGGGGCACATATGTGTTGGTACTTGTGGGTTCTTGGTGGGAAGGCCCATCTGGTATACAACTGGTTTTTAGCAGGGCCTAGCCGGTGTTCGATGTGCGATT